CCGGGCGGCGGGCGGAGCGGAGCCGCTTTGCTCCGCGCCGGCGGCGGCTTCGCGGCTCCTGGCCATGCCAGCCCCGCGCGCCGCCCCGAGAACCCGGACGCGGCCCCCGCGCACAAGAGGCCGAGGCTGGAGGCGGGGAGCGCGGGGAGCGCGGGGAGCGCGGGGAGCGCGGGGCCGCGGCCCGGGGGCGCCGGGGTAAGTGCACGGCGCGGGCCGGGGCCGGGGGTGGAGGGGGGCGGGGGAGGGAGCTGGGGTTCGGGGTCTGAGGTGGAGTTGGGGTTCGGGGTCCAGGATGGAGTTGGGGTTCGGGGTCCAGGATGGAGTTGGGGTTCGGGGTCTGAGGTGGAGCTGTGGTTGGGGGTCCAGGATGGAGTTGGGGTTCGGGGTCCAGGATGGAGTTGGGGTTCGGGGTCCAGGATGGAGTTGGGGTTCGGGGTCTGAGGTGGAGCTGTGGTTGGGGTCCAGGATGGAGTTGGGGTTCGGGGTCCAGGATGGAGTTGGGGTTCGGGGTCCAGGATGGAGTTGGGGTCCGGGGTCCAGGATGGAGCTGGGGTTCGGGGTCTGAGGTGGAGCTGGGGTTCGGGGTCCAGGATGGAGTTGGGGTCCAGGGTCCAGGATGGAGCTGGGGTCCGGGGTCCAGGATGGAGCTGGGGTTCGGGGTCCAGGATGGAGTTGGGGTCCGGGGTCCAGGATGGAGCTGGGGTTCGGGGTCTGAGGTGGAGCTGGGGTCCGGGGTCCAGGATGGAGCTGAGGTTCGGGGTCCAGGATGGAGTTGGGGTTCGGGGTCCAGGATGGAGTTGGGGTTCGGGGTCCAGGATGGAGTTGGGGTTCGGGGTCTGAGGTGGAGCTGGGGTTGGGGTCCAGGATGGAGCTGGGGTTCGGGGTCCAGGATGGAGTTGGGGTTCGGGGTCCAGGATGGAGTTGGGGTTCAGGTCTGAGGTGGAGTTGGGGTTCGAGGTCCAGGATGGAGTTGGGGTTAGGGTCTGAGGTGGAGTTGGGGTTCGAGGTCCAGGATGGATTTGGGATT